TGGCATGGCGATCTTTCGCCGCGGCTTACGCGGGCCTCCGGCGCGGCACGCTGCACTGGAGACGAGGCCGCTTGCGCGCGACCTTACGCGGGCAGCTTACGCGCAAATGTCGGCGTAGACGACCCCGTTTTTTGCGTCGCTCATATCAATGCCCACGGCCTCGCATATGGAAATGGGGAGTTTTGCCGCGAATATCCCGCGCAGAACGTATCCATGCGACCGCGTATCCGCGTATCCACGGGATAGCTCGACCCAGAACCCAAGCCGCGAGGGCGTGGACGTGGAGATGTTCGCCGCGCGTGGAACTTCCCCCTGCCCCCATCCAACCCTCCCAGAGGTCCATTCCAGCTGCTCCTGTTCCTGCATTGTGGACGCGTTCCGCCAATACTCGAAGGCATTGGAGGCTTTGGGACATACTGAACTCTCATCCTTGCGTTCCCTCTCCTCGGAAGGGGATGCCGGAGAGGGCCGTCGGTTCTGCACTCGTCCAACAAGGGACAGAGGACGCCCCTGAAACAGTTGGGCCCTCCTTTTGCGAAGCGAGAACTCCAACAAGCTCCCACACCCCCAAAACCTCCCACGCCCCCCGAAACCTGCAAGCATGGAGGAGCTCGTCCAGAGTCGAGGGACCTGGCCATCGCTCGGACGTCCATTCCCTGTGCTTTTTTCGGTTTCGTGCGTGGTTTTTTCGCCGAGTGATCAAGGATGCTCCTCGATGGTCCTCGCCGAAAGAAAAATGCACACGTCCGAGCGATGCCAAGCGCTTCAAGAATGGCGCCCTCCCCCCGCCCGCCTTCTGCGGCCGCCCGCTTCCCCCTCTTTGAAGGGGCCCTGACACACACACACACACACACACACACACACACACACATCAATAGACAGAAATAACAGGATTTCCCATATTTTCAAATCTTTTCTGGGCTTTCGTCTTCCCCCCCACTTCCCACATGCTCCATACATTCTCTGGGGAATCAGCGGTGCATTGTGTCTGTGTGTTTTTGTTCCCCTCCTGAACCTTCCCTCTTCTGCTGCTGGTCAGCTTGTTCCCCACGCGCTCCGGGCTACCAGAGCGCGCGAGCGGACCGCATCTGCCGTGCTGCAGCGGAAAAGCTGCTGGAAGCCCCCGGATGATGTTGCTCTCATCGTGCTTAGGGATCGCGTCCCAGACATGCTTTCGAGCACCCAGGAAAGTACCCAAGCACCGTCGAACGAGCATCGCCTCCCTGGGGCCCGACACGTGAAAGAAAGCATTCAAGTTCCGGTACTTCCCTGATGCCCGAACTTCTTTCTGGTGATCAAGGCGCAAGCAGGTTGGGACATCCTAGCCCTCGGCCTCTCCTTAAGGAGAGGCCGAGGGCTAGGATGTCTCGAGGAGGAGGAAATTTCGAGGAAGAAATTTCTTCCGAGGAAGAAATTTCTTCCGAGGAGGAGGTCGAGGACATCCGAGGCCTCTTGCTCTGCAGGGCGCTCCCGGCCTCCCTCCTCCCTGGCCCCCCCCCCCCAAGACTCGGAAAGGGCAGAGAGAGAGAGAGAGAGCACATAAACAGGTTAGGCCGGGCATGTCCCCCTACAGGCGGACTTGGGATGAAAATTCAAAAATACCCCAACAAAAAGGTCGGGCATGTCTCCCTACAGGCGGACTTTGGATGAAAATTCAAAAATACCCCAACAAAAAGGTCGGGCATGTCTCCCTACAGGCGGACTTGGGATGAAGATTCAAAAGTACCCCAACAAAAATACTCAAACGTAGTCAACACAACAAACTGTCAGCATCGTCCCCAGACTATGTTTGACCATTTTTCAATCCTCCTCCTGTGGAGGGACACGCCCGACTGAACAGAAAGGCCGTCCCTACGTGCCCGGCCACCCCAATTCGCGAGGCCGCCCTCGCGCCACGAGCGCACTCGCGTGAGTGGGGGAACCGACAGATTTAGGTCGGGCATGTCCTCCCACAGGCGGATTATCAAAGAAAAATGGTGAATAGTCAAAAAGTAACGCTTAATAGTTCAAAATTATAGAAAAATCGTCCCCAGACTATTCTTTCGATGACTCTAGGATATTCCTCCTGTGTAGGGACGCGCCCGGCTTAACTACAAATACCGATACCGCCACTCCTCGGACCTCGCCCGGGGGGGCGTTCTGACCAGAGTCTCGAGGCGAAACCTGCCGTGCCGCCCAGGGCCTGCCTCACCCTGTGGAAGACGATCAGTGACGATGAGGCAGATTGTCAAATGATTTCCAAATGCCTAAACGATGCTGAAAACATCTGGAACATGCAAAAAATGGTTGGAACATGCTTCATACAGCCTGAAAGCATTGTAAACACAGGTTGAAACCTATGGCAGGGCTGTTGGAGTGTCCACTGCCATGGCACCCACGACACTCATCCCTCGTCTTAAGTCGGGCCAGTCCCCCTTGAGCGGGATTTTGGACGAAAAATAAAAAATATTGAAACAAGCCCAAATGATGCCCACAAATACTCAAAAAATAGTCCCCAGACTTTCTTTTGACTATTTTTGAGTATTCCCCCTGTAGAGGGGCAAGCCCGACTTAACCCTCGTCCTCCCGGCTCTCCTGGGAGATGGCGGGGGGAGAGCGGAAAGAGCCGCTGGCTCGCTGTGCGCCAGACCACCCCCCATCCCGCAGCGTGACAAAAACGCCAGTCAAAACTGAGAATTGCTGAGGATGCGCGATCGGGATGCACCAGGGCGGAACCTCAACGGTTTTTTTCGTTTTCGTGTTGTTATCGTTTTCCCTCGTTCCGTCTCCAATCAGCCTTTACCGCAGAACGAAGTCGAAACGATAACGGCCCACAAAATCGCCAAAACACCGTTTAGGTCCAGCCCTGGGATGCACGGCCCGTAAAACGCCCATGCCGAAGCGTTTCGGGCGGGCCTGGCCACCGAAAGTGGTCGAGGATGGAGCGAAGAGGACCGACGAGGCAAGGATTAAGTCGGGTTTGTCCTCCTACAGGGGACGAACATAAAAAATATATAGTCAAACAAATACTCAACATGACCAATACTACTAAAACAAATCGTCCCTGGACGATGTTTTACTACTTTTGAATATTCCCCCTGTAGAGGGATAGGCCATACTTAAGGCAAGGAGCAAGGATGGACCCGACAGCAAGCGACACCGCCCCCCCCCTCGGCCCCACGGGGCTCAGTGCACGCCAGGAGATCAGGCGTGGGCTTTTGCGTGGTATGCGCTGCGGCCCCCGATGCGCCGTAGCGCATCGGGGACGAAGGCTCCACGAGGGACCCCCGCCGCTCCTGGCAGGAGGGCCGTGCTGCTTGTCGTAAACTGCGATGGGGGCAGATCGACGCCGCCGCGCGGCGGGCCCGCGATGGCCCCGCCGCCCAGCGGGGAGCTCCACGAGCGCCGCGCTGATTGAGAGCGGCGGCGACGGGTGGGCGAGGGGCGGTGCGAGTCGGGAAAGATGAGAGGGGGGGCGCCGAGCACGAGAAGCGAGCACGAGGAGCGAGGAGGAGGCGCACAGGATTCCTGAGAGGGGTCACGATTTGTCCGCCCCGGGGGGGGCGACAAACTAAAACCAACGCGGTCGTGGAGCATGCGATTGCAGATGGGTCGACACGCACCAGGCACGAGTGGCCAGCATGCCCAAATCGCATCGGCCAGAAGGGCACACAACAAAGAGAAAGAGAGAGAGAGAGAGCCACTCTTTGCTGACGCAATTTCGCGCGATACCACATGTTGTCGCTCGGGCCCGCCCCATGCACTCCCACCGTGCAGACGAGGACAGTGGCGGGCGCGAAACTGCCACGAGACCCCTCGCACTCCAGTGTGCTGTGACTGCTGCGCGGCACACGCGTGCGGGCACGAAGTCGCCACGAGACCACTCTCGTCAGGCTGCCGCGGCTGCACGTGGCTGCGGTGCCTCTCCCCCCCCCCCGCCGGCGCTGCCTCCCCCTCCCCCTCCCCCCCCCCCTCCTCCTCCTCCCTCCTCCTCCCTCCTCCTCCTCCTCCTCCTCCTCCTCTCCCCCTCCCCCTCCTCCCCTCCTCCCCTCCTCCCCTCCTCCCACTCCCCCTCCTCCTCCTCCTCTCCCCTCCTCCCCCCCTCCCTCCCCCTCCTCCTCCCCCCCTCCTCCTCCTCCTCCCCCCCCCCTCCTCCTCCTCCTCCTCCCCCTCCTCCTCGGGGAATCCGTTGCTTTTCCGAGTCCCCTTCAACAGGGCGGGGGGCGGGGAGGGGGGGGACGCCGTGCTCCGCCGGCAGCCCCCCTGCGCCGACTCCAGCGCCCCATCCCCCGGCAGGCCGGACCGCGGAGCGGCGCGAGGCCTCCACGCGACGTGTGCATCGCGCTGCCGCTCGAGACGCCCTCGCGATCATGGCAAGACTTGGCGCTTCAGCGACGCGCCCGCTCGAAGGCCCGCCCGCCTGCCCCGCCAGCCAGGGTCCGAGCAAAGGGGGCACGACCCAAAGCCGAAGAGAGGGCGGGTATCGAGGGCCTGGGATGTGCGAGTCGAGTGGCACGCGAGCAGACAAGGGCAAACGACTTCAAAATGAAGGTTGTTGTTGCTGCTGCTGTTGCTGTTGCCGTCTGGTTGTTGGTGCTGCTGTTACTGGTGTTGTTGTTGCTGCTGTTGTTGTTGGTGATGTTGCCGTTATTGTTGTTGTTGCTGTTGTTGCTGTGTTTGCTGGTGTTGTGGTGTTGTTGTTTTTGTTGTTGCTGTTGGTGGTGTTGGTGTTGTTTGTTGTTGATGACATGAATTGTTGTTATTGTTGCTGTTATTGATGATGTTGTTGTCGTCGTCCCTCCATGCCCCTCCCGCGACCTATCCGCGACCCACCCCGCAACCCAACCAGCGACCCACCCGCGACTCACCCGCCCGCCCCCTCACTCTCATCCGCAGTTGCGTGGTGTTGTGTTTTTCACATCGGCTACCGACCACCAGAACCGCCATCAAAAACGACTGGTGGCGATGGCTCGCTGGAGGCATCGTCGATAAACTATACCAACACAGCGTGCATCTCGACTTCACATTCGGGCTCGTGCACTTTGGATCGGGCCCTGGAACGTCGACAAAGCGTTCTCGCCGCTGCCCGGGAAGAAGAGGGGGCTGGACAACGGGTCCTGCTTCTGGCCCGTCTTCGTGTTCACGAAATGATGGTAGTTGGCCTGCCATGGCTTGCCAGCCCAGGGGCCAGGGTGGGAAAATGGCGAGCATCAAGTTCCCAACGGGAATCCCGCAAGCTGTCTCGCTCACTCAGATCTGCCCTCCCGCCACACATGAACGACGATCGAAAACGGGTCTTACGCGAGATGACACAGCGACCTTGCGCCGCAGCTTACGCAGGCCGCCAGCGCGGCACGCCACAGCGGAGACGAAGGCGCTTACGCGTGGCTTTACAAGGGCAGCTTACACGCCAACGTCGGTGAAGACGACAACGTTATCTTCGTCGCTCACATGGCTCCGAAACCCGGGGTTCAGCACAGGCGGCGGCCGCCATCCGATGTACAACCATTGGGGGGCCCAAGAGACGCGCACCGCAGGCTCGCCGCGCGCACGAGGGCGCTGCCAGCACAAAGGCGCGCCACGTGCCGCGCAAGGCGTGACCTCAACCTCAGAGGGTGCGCGCTGAGACAGAGATGGACCTCGACGCCGTGCGAGCGAACGCGCTCGAACAGACGCGCACTGGCGCAATGAGTTGCAGTCCGTGAGTGTGAGTAGGGCGCCGGGATGGGCCTGGCACCGCATGCAAGGACGCCCGCAGAGGCCGCGGGTCAAGTTCCCCATGGATCGTGTGTGTTGCTGTGCCGACATCCCGCAGGCAGGCCCCGGGGCACCCGAAGCCGTTGCTGTGCCGAGATGCCGCAGGCAGGCCTCGGGGCACCCGAAGCCAGGACATCGCTCACCAGGGCTTTGAAGCGTCCGCTTGGAGGGAACGTAAAACGGAGAATGGTTCAGCCACGGCTGCAAATCTTTCGGGCGCGCCAGCGTCTTGGTTTATCAAAACCCTCGTTTGGGGCACCCTGGAGGATCCTCACGGAGTCCGATCCAGATGATGCGTGCGACGAAGCAAACAAAGGACTCCACATGCAACCGCATCCACAGCAGACCGCAAATGGATCGCCATATGGGACACGATCCGCGCGAAATGTTTGCTGCAAGGGCCTAAGGGGCGGGGCCGTGGGTAAACGCCCTACGAAGCACGATCCGCGTGAAGAGTGTATCAGATTCGGGCATGTTTGGGACAATGTTGCCGTGTTGTGGGTCCGATCCAAAAACCCTCGAATGTCGACTTGGATCCCTCTTCAAACTTAGATTCAAAACCACGAACACCAGATACAAACATTCGCTTTGGCATGAGCCTGGCAAACTGGACATACGGGATTGCTTGCTGATTCACTATTTCATTGCGCGAGCGCTCGATTCTGTTTGGAAATAGTTGTTGTTTGACCAGCGAACCTAAGAAAAACACCGGCGCCCCATCGATATTGATTCATACGTCTTTATGTACGCCGGACGCTTCCGGCACCGGCTCCGTCGCCCCCCTTCACTTCCTAAGCAGTACAGCACTTATGGTGTTTTACTTCGCTGTCGGAAGAAAGTTGATGGGTCCACCGACGTTTCGCCCGGTGCCTACCCGTGGGCGACTCGTGGGCGTCTCGTGCGATGGGTGGATGAGCCGAGGCTTCACCTGGTCCCCGCCCGTGGGCGCCTCGTGGGCGCCTTGCGCGCTGCGCGGGTCAGCTGAGGTTTCGCCTGGTGCCCGCTAGCGGGCGCCTCGTGGGCGCCTCGTGCGCAAGGCGGCCGCATAGTTTGCACGGTTGAGTTGCTACGACGCAGCTTGCAGGAAGCCGCGTGCACCCAAACGACTTGCGCCACATAGTTTGCATCTACACGACATAGCTTACTCCACATAGCTCCAAACACATAACGTACACATCCACAACGCAATGACTTAATGTTTGGGGTTCACGCCGACAAGGCTGTTAGTAGCATTAACTCTTAGTTGGGAAATCGACTTTGCCCGCCACCGTGCCTTGAGGCATGAGTTGGAGTGTCCTCAGGTCCTTGGACAACTCTCTTAAGCCTCAATCCTCAATCCCAAAGATTATTCGGCTCCAGGTTCGTCCTGGTCCCCGGGTGTCGTTCCCTCCTCTGCCCCATGCTGCTGTTGCGCTCCCGGGTCGTCCACCTTGGGGGCCATATGGCGGGCAGGGCGCGCATAGGGCATATGTTCCAGCATCCCCAGCCCATTGCTTGGCAAAGATCGAAATTGGTTTTGTGCAACCCGTATCTGAAGTATGGCTCTCTGTAAGCCCCCTTTGCCCGTAGTTGCCCTGAAGATTCCTTGGGCCAGGACCCTCGGCTCCAAAATCTCTCGGGGGCGTGCCCTCTGGGCCCCCCCCACCCCACCCCACGAGTGTTGTCGCATTGTTTGTTCGGGGCCAGAAAAGCCCCAAGACGGGCCAACGGCCCAAGAGGACCCCATGAGGCCGCCCAGACGGTCCAAGGATACCCCGAGTCGCCGCACGATCGATCGAAGACGCCCAAGATGGCCCAAGAAGCCTTCGAGACGCCCCAAAAGCCTTCCCAAGAGGGCCCAGGGAGGCCAAACTTATTGACTATCACTAGGTGTTTCAATGCTTTTCGGGATCCCCACTTTTCCGCCCAAGACTTCCCAAGACGGCCCCAAGAGGGACCCAAGAGGGGAAACACGAACCGAAAATCCTAGCCCCAAGATGCCGCCAAGAGAACTAACAGATACCCCAAGAGGCCCCCAAGAGGCCCAAAAGAAGCCCCAAGATGCCCAAAACAGCAGCCCAGAGACCTCAAAACTGCCTTCAGGAGGCCTCGACGAGATACCAACGAACATCGAGGAGGCCTCAGACCCACAACCCAGGCACGGTGGCGGGATGGGCCGAAGGCCATTCGATCCGCCGCCCCCTTTCGCTTCAGCAAAGGGGTGCCCGGCGTGCCGAACCCTATCGGTTTTCGTTTTGGTTCCAAAAGAACTCTCCCAGTGGGTTTCGGCCCGTCCCGCCGGGGTCCCGGGATTTTTTCCACGGACCTCAGTTCCCAAATTTTCTGCCCAAGACGGCTCCAAGATGGCCTTCAAGATGGCCAAGATGGTCTCCAAGATGGCCTCCAAGTCCGCCCAAGGTGGTCCAAGGCGGCCTCCAAGACGGCCGAAGAGAGTCCAAGAGAGCCCCAGACGGGCCCAGAGGCCCCCCAGAGGCCTCCCAGACGGCCCAAGAGGCCTCCAAGAGGTCCTCCAGGAGGGCCCGAAGAGGCCAAAATCATTGAATTTGCTTCTTCTCGGCATTCCGACGGCTCCAGACGGCCCAAGAGGCCCCCACAATCGCCCAAGAGGCCCCCAAGAGAGCCCCATGACGGCCCAAGATGGCCTCCAAGATGGCCCCAAGAGGGCCCCAAGACGGCCCAAGAGGCCTCCAACACGCCCAAGATGGCCTCCAAGACGCCCAAGATGGCCTCCAAGACGGCCCCGAAGCGCCCCAAGAGGGTCCCCCGTTGGCGCAGAAAGGCCCCCAGACGGCTCCCGACGGCGTCAGACGTGCCAGGAACCCACCAAGATGGCCGAAGTCGGCTCGAAGCTGGCCCAAAAGGGCCCAAGAGGCCCCTCCAGGCAGGCCAGAAGAGGCCAAAAACATTGATTTTCCTTCGGTTGTTGACGGATTTTGACATTTCGTTCTGTTCGGCCTTCCGACGGCCCGAGACGGCCCAAGAGCCCCAAGAGATCGCCGAAAGATCGCCCAAGAGGCCTCCAAGACGGCCAAGATGACCTTCAAGACGCCCACGTGTTCCCCGAAGGCTTTCCAAACCGATTCGGGGAACACATGGTCCGATGACTTGGCAGGTCTGGCCTCAACGTTCGGCCACACAAGACGGCCAGGATGACCTCCAAGACGGCCCCAGATGGCCTCCAAGTCCGCCCAAGATGGTCTAAGACGGCCTCCAATACGGCCTCAGAGAGTCCAAGACGGCCCAAGACGACCCAAGAGGCCCCCCAGAGGCCTCCCAGACGGCCCAAGAGGCCTCCAAGAGGTCCTCCAGGAGGGCCCGAAGAGGTCACAATCATTGATTTTCCGTAGGTTTTTGAATGATTTTGGAATTTGCTTCTTCTCGGCATTCCGACGGCTCAAGACGGCCCAAGAGGCCCCCAAGATCAACCAAGAGGCCCCCAAGAGGGCCCCATGACGGCCCAAGTCTCCTCCAAGATGGCCCCAAGAGGGCTCCAAGGCCCAAGATGGCCTCCAAGACACCCAAGATGGCCTCCAAGACGGCCCCGAAGCGCTCCAAGAGGGTCCCCCGTTGGCCCAGAAAGGCCCCCAAGACGGCTCCCGACGGCGTCAGACGTGCCAGGAACCCATCAAGATGGCCGAAGTTGGCTCGAAGCTGGCCCAAAAGGGCCCAAGAGGCCCCCCAGAGGGCATCCACGAAAGAGGGAAAAAAGGCCAAAAATCTTCATTGTTTCTTAGGTGTTCGAAGGATTTTGACATTTCCTTCTTTCCGGCCTTCCGACGGCCCGAGACGGCCCAAGAGCCCCCCAAAGATCGCCGAAAGATCGCCCACGAGGCCTCCAAGACGGCCACGATGACCTTCAAGATGCCCACGTATTCCCCGACGGCTTTCCAAACCGATTCGGGAAACACATGGTCCGATGGCTTGGCAGGTCTGGCCTCAACGTTCGGCCACATAGGCGCTTCCACAAAGGCAGGGGGCGCGGTGATTCGCCGTAGGCGTCTTCGGTCCGCCGCCCCCTGTCGATTCATCGCATGGGGTGCCTGGCGTGCTAGATGACCTTCAAGCTGCCCACGTGTTCCCCGAAGGCTTTCCAAACCGATTCGGGGAACACATGGTCCGATAGCTTGGCAGGTCGGGCCTTTACGTTCGGCCACATCGGCGCTTCCAAAAAGGCGGGGGGCGGCGGTGATTCGCCGTAGGCGTCTTCGATCCGCCGCCCCCTTTTGATTTATCGCAGCGGTGCCCGGCGCGCCAGATTTCTTAGAGGTTGTTGGTTCTTTTCAAGACTCCCCCTGGGCCGGGGTTTCGGCTCACTGAGCCGGCCACCTGGAAAGCTCCAGGCGGGGTGGTTGGCAAGGGCTTCTCCGCTCTGGATCATGTTCCAGATGGCTCCAAGATGCAGCAAGATGGTCTCCAAGACGGCCAAGATGGTCCCAGATAGCCTCCAAGACGGCCCAACAGAGTCCGAAATGCCTCCAGGTTCGCCCAAAAAGCCTCTAAGACTCTAAGACGGCTCAAGACGGCCACAGAGGCCCCCAAGAGGCCTCCAAGACGGCCCAAGAGGCCTCCAAGAGGTTCTCCAGGAGTGCCCGAAGAGGCCCAAATCATTGATTCGCATCAGGCTTTCGAAGCATCTCGGCATTTGCATCTGTTTGGCCCTCCGACGGCCCAAGACGGCCCGAGAGGCTCTCAGGATTGCACCAAGATCGGCCGAGAGGCCTCCAAGATGGGCCTCGGAACGGCCCGAGAAACTCCCAGGACAGCCCCCAAACGGGCCCCAAGACGGCGCAAAAGATGGCCTCCGGGAGGGCCCCGAAACGCCTCAACGAAGGGCCCCAGGATACGCTCAATGCGCCCTCCCACGGCGCCTCGGGAGGAGCGCCGAAAAGACGGCCCAAGAGGCCTCCATGGAGCCTCGAAAAAAGCCAGCAGGAGGCCCAAGGAAGCTCCCAAGGAAGGCCTCGAAAAGGCCCCCAGGAAGCTCCCAGGAGGCCCCAGGAGCGCCCCGAATGGCTCCCAAGAGGCCTCCTCCTCCTCCTCCTCCTCCTCCTCCTCCTCCTCCTCCTCCTCCTCCTCATGCTCCTCCTCCTCATGCTCCTCCTCCTCTTCCTCCTCCTCCTCCTCCTTTTTCCTCCCTCTCCTCATCCTCCTCTTCCTTTCCCACACGTGATCCCCAAAGGGTTTCCACAACGGATAAGGGGACGCAAGGTCCAGTAGCGTGCCCAGACTTTGCCCAAACGTTTGGCCACACGGGCTTAATCCTAGAAGCCAGGGGGCGGCGGTGATTCGCCGTAGGCGTCTTCGATAAAAGACGTCGGCCCTTCTGATCCCTGCCTTGTGATACCATGTGTTTTCCTTACGTTTCAAAAAGGTTCTCCAGCACAGATCCCCGACTCGCTCGGCTCTCCGGGTGCTCCCGGGCGCTCGACGCCCCTGCAGCACACGCACCTCGGGCGGGCATCGAACGGGGCACGGCTGCTTCGCCACGGGCCCCGGGCTGCTCGGTAAACGCAGGTCGTGTGGGCGGCGTCGGGCACCCTGAGCCCGGAAACACGTTCTCATCTCCTGGGGGCGCACGTTTCTTACTTCCGCCGCCCTCCGCCGCACCTCTGGCGGCCTCCCCCCGGCGGGGGCGGCCCCGCCCTGCTTCCGCCGACCTCCCGCCGCGGAAGACATGACCGCTCCCTCGATCCTCGCAGGCAAGGCCCTTCCTGGAACGCCTCATGAGGGTAGGGGCGGCGTTCGTGAGCGTTTTTCGATTCGGCGTTTCGACATCTGGGCGGGACGGGGGGGGGGGGGCAAGGCTCCGGAGTTCTGCGTAGCGCGACTGCTTGCAGCAGTGCGTCCCGCGGGGGAGGCTCCACCCGCTTGGCACAGGCGCCAGAAGCAGCGAAGCTCTCCTCCAGAGGGGGGGGGAGGGCGAGGGCCCGCGCCGATCTGCAAAACAATGAACACGAAAACGATCACTTCTTCCCCCCCCCTAAGTGGGGGCGATGCGGGGACGCGGGCGAGGCGGGGGCGCGGCGAGGCCTGGTACCCTTGCAGCGAGGCGGGGTGCACTCTCAGGGGCGTCTCCTTCGGCCCGGACGCCCCCGCGCCGAGGTGGGCCCCGTCGAAGGCGTCCCGGAAGATCAGGGCAATCCTTGGGAGGGCACTTGCGAAGACGGGAACCGAACTTTCTACACCGATGTTTTTTCTGGTCCCGCCCTGAGATTCGCACAAGAAAACGGGTCATGGTGTATACGGCATCCTGGTGTATACAATTGTTGCTGTTTCCACGGGGAAACGGGGGAATAGTATACACCATACCATCCTGACGTCGCCCCCGACCCTCAAAAAAGTCCTGGGATTGAAAAACCGCCCGCCACTGGCAATGCATCTGCTCCAGTTTCCGAGTTTAAGATGTCGGATGTTCAAAAACTCTGCGTGGCGACGCCCCTGCTGACACGCAGGCCCACCTACACAAAAGCACACCACGCCGCGGAACACCCCCGTTTTTGCGTGTCGACGGGCTTCGCCACGCAGGCCCTCTGCGCTGCTGCGACCCCCCACCAAACACCTGAAACCAATTGTCAACGGGCGAAGAACGGTATAAAATAAACTTTTTCGCTGTCGGGGGCGCCTGTCCCTGGGCGGCTGGAAAGTTTATACCCTTACGGTGGCACCGTAGGGGTATAAACTTTCCAGCCGCCCAGGGACAGACGCCCCCGACAGCGAAACAAATTATGTTATACCGTTCTTCGCCCGTTAATTTTTGCGTGTCGACGGGCTTCGCCACGCAGGCCCTCTGCGCTGCTGCGACCCCGCACCAAACACCTGAAACCAAGTGTGCGCACCAGCAGAGCACGCAACATTGGATGCTCGTTCTGGGGACCGTCCTGGAGCCACTCGCTCCACTCGTGCGTCGAAGCTGCGTCGAACGTCAGTCGAGTTGGGTCGACCCTGAGTCGAACCTGAGTCGAACCTGAGTCGAACTTGAGTCGAACTGGAGTCGAACTGGGGTCGAACAGATCCGTCAGGTGGGCTCCAGGGAGGTCCCCGAAACGAGCAGCGCACGCAAAACGGGTCGGCCGCCGCCCCGGAGCTCCGACGTGCCCCGTGGGGTCGGGAGGCCCGCCGCGTGGCTCCGGGGGGCCCCCGAGGTAGAAGGGCAGTCCGCGCCCCCGGCCCCGGGGGGGGTCGGCCTCTGGGGGTGGCGTGTCCCTGGTCGACGATCCTCCGAACGTGTGCTATAGCGCCAACGTGTGCTTCGTCCATCGAGGCCCCTCGATACGACGCAGGCGACGCAGTGCTCTGCCGGCTGGGCTAGACGAGATAAACGCACACCTTGGGCTAACACACGTCCTGAGGATTCGGGGATGGACAGACCCCCCCTGTGGTAAAACGTGGTTTAGCGAACACGACCCGAGGCCCAAACCTGGTGGGCGCAGGCCTGGAAAATAACGGCCACGGCGCCTTCTCGAGAACCGAAAACAGACAATTCACTAGTCGACGTGTCACTGTTGGGGGTTCTATCCACCCCCGAATCCTCAGCACGTGTGCTATAGCGCCAACGTGTGCTTTCTCCATCGAGGCCCTTCGATACGACGCAGGCGACGCAGTGCTCTGCCGGCTGGGCTAGACGAGATAAACGCACACCTTGGGCTAACACATGTCCTGAGGATTCGGGGATGGACAGACCCCCCTGTGGTAAAACGTGGTTTAGCGAACACGACCCGAGGCCCAAACCTGGTGGGCGCAGGCCTGGAAAATAACGGCCACGGCGCCCTCTCGAGAACCGAAAACGGACAATTCACTAATCGACGTGTCACTGTTGGGGGTTCTATCCACCCCCGAATACTCAGCACGTGTGCTATAGCGCCAACGTGTGCTTTCTCCATCGAGGCCCTTCGATGCGACGCAGGCGACGCAGTGCTCTGCCGGTTGGGCTGGACGAGATAAGAGCACCCCTGACTCCGGATCCGCCCTGCTTTGGGGAAATTCGTAAGTAGGGCTTGGAATTTCCGCCTTGCTTTTCAAGCCCCGCTGATGCCAATTTCCGCCCTACTCTTCTGCTGTTGTTTCCGCCCTACTTCTGTGGATGTTCGCCCTATTTTATATTGGGTGCAGAAATTTCCGCCCTGCTTTTTCGGCTTCTGATAGGTGGATTTCCGACGCAATTTTAAGTTGGAAAAGAAAAGCCAAAGTAGGGCGGATTTGGAGTCAGGCACACCTTGGGCTAACACACGTCCTGAGGATCGTCGATCCTGGAAAGCACAAACAAAAACAGGTCGGCCTGCCGCCCCAGAGAGCTCCGACGCCGTGGGGTCGGAAGGCCCGCCTGCGTGGCGCGGGGGCCCACGAGGAGAGGGCCCGTGCTCCTGGCCTCGGGGTCAGCCCTGGGGTTAGTTGCGTGTCCCTGGCCTGTGGGTGCACGGCTTCCCCCGGGGCCGTAGGCGACCCGAGGAGGAGGAAGAGGAGGAGGTGGAGGGGAAGGAGGAGATGGAGGAGGAGGAGGAGGAAAAGGGGGATGATGATGATGATGATGATGATGAGGAGGAGGAGGAGGAGGAGGAGGAGGAGGAGGAGGAGGAGGAGCAGAAGGATGAGGAGGACGGGTCGCCTGAGCCCATCCGAGAAACCCTCCACCTGTTGGGGTCGGCCGTGGGGTTTTTGTGTGTCCCCAGTCTTGAGGCATGGCAGCTATGTGTTCCTAGCCAGTCCCCACCAGCCTCCACTCCGCGGGAATGCCTACGGGCGGCAGCACACCTGCTTGGCAGAAGCGGTGAGGAAAGCAGAAGAGAGAAAGGAGGAAGCAGCGCTCAGTGGCGTCCTCGGGTCTGGAAAATTGATCCGCCACCGTGCCGCCTGGCACGCCGAGGGGTTAAAGTCAACCCATATGTATTTATATATCTAAATTTGTTGTTGTTTTATTATGTTATGATTCTTGTATGTTCGAAGTGGTTACAATCAACCCATATGATAGGGATGCGCGGTAGGGATGCCAGGGCCTCGGAGGGCCCTGTTGATGCTTTTAGAACTAGACTGGCCAGCGAAAGTCGCCGAGGATGGGCCGAAGGGGCAAGGATTGCAAGGGTACAGTAGGAGCTCGACCACAAGAAACCGTCCACAAGAAACCCGAACCTGAGACCCCAGGGCGTCCATCGATTTCTGGAACGGGAGCGTCACGCCTTCCACAGCAGAACCGTCGAAGCCCTAGAAACCCACGGAACCCTGGAAGCAAGCAGGGTGCTTCTTGGCATGGGTCTCCACTGTACCTCCCCCTCCTCCTCCTCCTCCGCCTCTCCTCCCTCCTCCTCCTCCTCCTCCTCCTCTCCCTCCTCTCCCCCCCACTCCTCCTCCCTCCTCCTCCTCCCCTCCTCCTCTGCTCCTCCTCCTCCTCCTCCTCCTCCTGCTCCTCCTCCTCCTCCCTTACCCTTGGGAAGGCTGCCCATCCTCACTGTGCGGGTAGCCTATGCGCACGTCTTCTGCGTGCTTCACCCCCCCCCCCCGCCCTCTGAGGGCAGGCTGGGCGGTCCGCCGCCTCCCGGGTCCCTGTGCATCTCCTCCACGGCTTTTAGCGTCGGGTCGGCCATGTCCTCCTGCACGATTCACACCCAAAAAAAAACGAACCCTTGTGGGAGGGGACCTGAGCTAGGAGGGCCGAGCACATCACTCCGGGTTTCTTAATGAGCGTGGGGGGACCCCCCCCGACGGGGGTCAACCTCGCCTCGTCGTCACGCCGCGACGGGGGTCGGAGCGCCTTCGGCGCACGGTGGCTGCCCGCGATCCGATGGGGGTGGATGCGGGGCTGTCGGCGGGGGTGACGCCCCCCCGACGCTTATTAAGAAACTCGGAGTAGGGATAGGGGCTCTCTTCTGCAGATGTATCGAACCAAACCGCCCAGAATTATTATCCCTAGTGCACAGACGGGGACCTCAATGAGGCCACGTCTTCACTGTGTTGTTAGGGATTGTTTTTTTTTGCAGTCTCGGTGACTACAGGCGGATATTGAGAGAAAGATGAAGCCTAGTCAGCAACTTCTTGTTCTATGATAAGAACAGCACGAAGAATCGCCGCCAGACTGTTGTTGGACTATTAACGAACAATGCTTCCTGCAGAAGGACGTGCCCGACTCAACTTTCACGACGTCGCAGGAAGGCCACCAAGGCCGCCAAGACGCCCCAACCTTGCCTCGGGAGACGCCCAGCAGCCTCCAAGATCCCAACAGGCCCCCAAAAGGCTTCCAGAACATCACAGGGAAGTCCCAAGGATGCCCTCCGAGAAAACCCAAATCAACAAAAAGTCTGCGGAGTCCCATCATACTTTGTGCTTCCCGGGACTCCCGGCTCTCGATAGCTCCAAGAGGGCTGCGGAGCCAAAGAAGCGCCACAACGGTACAACAGGGGCCCAACAAAGCCCCCGACGGCCAGGGACAACCTCACGAGAGCCACCCAGTACAGTCCAATGTGGGCCCAGGGCAGCCCAAGAGGGCCCCAGGATGGCCTACCCCCGAAGCAGCTCCGAGCGACTTCCCAGACGGCGGAGAGAAGCCCAAGATGGCCAAACACGTCACTCAGACGGCCCGAGTGGGTCTCGGGGCCCAGAGGGTTCCAAGAGTGCCCAGAGACGGCCACACGGGAGCCCACGACAGCCCAAGGACGATCCAGGTAGTCCCCATGGTAGCCTCAGGTCGGGCCTGTCCTCCTACAGGCGGATTGTTTGGAAGGGACATGCCAAAAGGCAACACAAAGTTCGTACATGGTCAGAAGTAGTGGTAACATCGCCCCCATGTTATCTTTGGACTACTTCTGGATACTCCTCCCGTAGAGGGACATGCCCGACGTAATGCTAGACAGACAGACAGACTCAGAAGCCAGGCGGTCGGACGGCGCATCGGCAACACAGCGTTGACTAAGGATTGACCACCCCCCGCACGCACCAACCAAACGTGCGTCGTGCGAGCGGGCGGCGGGCGACGAATCGACGCCGTGAGCACAAGAAACAGCGTCGTCAGGACACGCCCGGCTGAAAATGCTAGCCCCTCGAAGACGAGGGCCGCGAGGTGTCGCATGCCACGGCCCCGTCTGGGCGGTGCCCGCAGGCGCCGCCGGAGCACCAGAGAGTGCGGCGTGCGGCGGCGGGAGGCTCGCCGCAGGCAGCCGGATGAAGCCATACCCCACGTTCTGGTTCTTCTTGAGGTCCCATGGGAGGTAGAGGAAGTCGAAGAGACCCTCTGCGAGGCGGGGGATTGTCCATACCCACCGCCTGGGAACCGACGTCCTGGTGCCCCAGCGGGCGGCGGATGTGGATACATATGTATATATATATATACATATATACATATGTGTATATATAAATGTATCTAAACACATATGTATGTATGTATATATATAGAAGTGTTTATTTATCTATTTCTAGTTTTATCGATTTATCAATGTCTTTATATATACATATATACATGTGTATACAAATATTCTGGCCCAACGGACGGAGGCCCGACTGTGTCCATAGCCCCCGCCCGCCGAGGTCCCCGAAGAGGGATCCTCCGGGCGGTGGCCACGTACACGTTCCCGCCTCGGACCCTCGGGCCCTGCAGGAACGACTCGCTCTATCCCCTCCTCCTCCTCCTCCTCCCTCCTCCTCCTCCTCCTCCCTCCTCCTCCTCCTCCTCCTCCTCCTCCTCCTCCTCCCCATCCTCCTACTCCTCCTCCTCCTCCTCCCCATCCTCCTCCTCCCCCCCTCCTCTCCTCCTCCTCCTCCCCTCCTCCTCCTCCTCCTCCTCCTCCTCCTCCTCCTCCTCCTCCTCCTCCTCCTCATGTGCACGCACACGAGGGCCCGATCGCAGAACTCCATGGGGAGAAATTAGGGAGTCCAAGAGACCCCTCGGGGGCCACGGGAACGACTCGCCCGTCACCTGGAGCCAAACACAAGCGTGTACGCACACGAGCCTGATTTTCAAGCTCCACGGGAAGTAGAGAGGAAGTCGAGAAGACCCTCGGGAGCCAGAGACAAAAATCGCCCGTCCCCTGAACCAAATAAGTGTACGCACACGAACCTGATTTTCAAGCTCCATGCGAAGTAGAGGGAGTCGAAGAGACCCTCGGGAACCACAGAAGCAAACCGCCCATCCCCTGAACCAAACGAGTGTACGCACACGAACTTGATGTTCAAGCTCCATGGGAAGTAAAGAGAAACTCGAAGTGACCCTCGGGAACCACAGAAACAAACCGCCCATCCCATGAAACAAACACACGCGTACGCACACGAACCTGACTTTCAACTCCATGCGGAGTAGAGGGAGTCGAAGAGACCCTCGGGAACCACAGACAAAAATCGCCCGTCCCCTGAACCAAACACAAAGTGTGTACACGCACGAACCTGATGTTCAAACTTGCAGGATAGCGAACATTTTGCAAAAGGACTGAACCACAAAAAACAACCATCAATGATGCTAAGAAAAACACCTGGTGGTTGTGATTTTGATGTCGGCCACCTCAAAGCCACGTTCGATCACCTCACGCATGAGGCATTGCTGGGTGAAGTGGCGCGGGATCCGCCGCATCATGACCGTGACCACATTGGAGCTCCACTCCGGGTCGTCCCGCTGGTGCTCCAGGGACTCCTCGACGGCAGCTGGCGCCCAGCACGCGACCATCGGTACTGATCGCGTGGCGATGTTTCGAGGCAGGCGGCGAATGGGACGAGTCCTCAGCTGGAGATGGAACGATTGAACCAAGATTCAACACTCCTCCTCTTCGCATCACCTCATCCACCTTCTGGGCCTCCGTTCCCTTTTCCTTCTCCGCATCCCTCCTCCTCCTCCTCCTCCTTCCTCGTGTTTCCTTCCTCATCCTCGTCATCACTCTCATCCTTATCCTCTAATACTTCTCTACCACCTCCTTCCCCCCTTCCATCAGCCTCATCGTCCTCACCCTCCCTCGCCCTCCTCGTCGAGCAGGCGAGACACATCGCGGCAGGCGTGGGCGTCGAAGCGCGGGCGCCTGTACGCCTTAGCCCTTGGCTGGAAGCAAGCTTTCGATTCAAAGGGCATTCCTGGAATGCTCGACGCGTGGGAAGATTTGGTCTTCCGAGACTGCGAGCTGGACACGCTGACCCGCATCCAGAAGCCAGAACCGCTCGAACACCTGACGCAAATGCATGATTGACGCCTGCCTCCTCCTCCTCCTCCTCCCCCTCCTCCTCCTCCTCCTCCTCCTCCTCCTCCCCCTCCTCCTCCTCTTCCTCCGCCCCCTCCTCCTCATCCTCCTCCTCATTCTCCTCCTCATTCCCCTCATCATCCATGTAGGGAAACAAACTCTATACATACACGCTTTTTTTTCTGGCACTGTACTGACACTTGCACAGGAAAGCGGATCCTGTAGTATATGGGATCCTGGTGTATACATTTTCCGTTGCTTCCCCAGGCAACGGGGACAAAAAGTATGCACCACACCACCCCGACGTCGTCTCCCACCCTCAAGAAGTCCTGGGATTGAAGAGCAGCCGCCACTGGCACTGTATGTGTTCCAGTTTTCCGACCCTGATCGCGAGATTGGTGAGCCGAAAGGGGGGCTCGCCGTGGCGTCCGCGAAGCGGGCTCGCTCCAGCAGCCGGCCAGCCGAGAGGAGACCGCAGGGCAGCTCCGCAACGGGCAGACGCAGGAACCATAGAACGCCACGCCCGCGCCCCGCGGCGGCCTGGCTGCGCAGAGCCCCCAAGCGCGCTGGCGAATAGGCGCAGCAGCGCAGTGGGAGATACAGGCCTCGGAAAAAAATTAGCGAACACTCATGCCACATTCATCTGTGAACGCCTCCCCCTTCCCCCAATGTTCAAAGTTGGCGGTGGGTCTGATGAGTTGCACCTCGACCGCAGTCTCCCCCCCCGCGTGCCAACTTTGAGTTTTGGGGGCAGGGGGGGGTGTTCACTAATTGCTTCCCTCTACCGTACCAAGGCATACATTGGGGGCCAGTCCACAAGCAGCCTTCCACAAGAGACCCAGCCCTGAGGCCCCAGGAGACCTCCACTGATTTCTGGCGTGGGAGCGTCACGCTCTCCGCAGCAAGTCCACCGAGACCCAAGACACCCAGGGCAGCCTGGAGGCGCGCAGGGTGCCTCTTGGCATGGGCCTCCGCTGCACATCGTGGCCGCACCCTCGCCGTCCGCGACAAAGGGCTCCACCTGGGAGGAGAAGGGACAGCGGCCGGGCACCTCCCACGGCGGCCCTCCTCCGCCTCCCAGCGCTCTCTTCCCGTCGTGGCCGCGTCGGCTGCGATGCGCGCCGCAGAGGTCGGCCCTGCCACCCCCCAAGCGTGTGTGCATTGGGCGTGGCTTAATGGGGGGGTCACAAATGGGGGGTCAGAAAAGGTCCCCTTGCGTGCCCCTTTCGGGCCCCTCCAGAGCCCCAGGGGGCTCGTTTAGGTACCGTTTGGGTACCTTTTCGGACCACCCTCGCCACCCCCCCATTTATGACCCCCCCATTACGCGGCGCCCAAGGCAGTGCAGGACGGCGTGTGACAGCCGGCACAGGCCGAGGACACCCTCCGCATGGCCAGGCGGGCTTCGGACTCTCGGGCACGGCTCGGGCCGGCAGGCGGGTCTGCAGCAGGAGTGCGGGGTGGTGGTGGTGGTGGAGCACTGGCGCAGGCGACGGTCATCGAGAGTCCGACGTGACGGGCGCGCTCGCACGCCAACGACAGACGTGTCATGAGCAGCGGCCGGCGAGCAGACGCAGAGGTACCGAGGCGAACCAGCATAGCTCGCGTCGCTTCCATGCTTCGGAAGCAGTTACGGGGCCACATTTTGCCTCTTGAGACAGGAAGGTGGAGCTGTTCAAGTTCAGCGCCACTGTGGTGCCAACGATGCTGTACAGCCTCAGCAGCCCAAACGACCGCTGCAGGGCGAAGACGCTTGAGCGGGGCGCAGGCCCGAATGGTGAGGTCGAACGCTGGGATCAAATAGTGCTATGACGTTTTCCGCGCCTCGCATGGCGAGGTGCGCCGGCGATTACCGATACGTTGCTCGAGCACCAGCTGGACGGGGCGCAAGCCCGAATGGTGAGGTCCAACACTGGGATCAGATAGTGCTATGACGTTTCCCGCGTCTCGAATGGCGAGGTGCGCCGGCGATCACCGGTAAGTTGCTCGAGCACCAACTGGATCTGTATCGCAAGGCTGCCCAGGGCGGAGCGCCGTGCCCACTGCAGGATCTGTGGCAAAAACACACTGTGGGAAAAAAAACACTGTGGGAGAAAAAAACACAGCCTGTGGGAACAAACACACACAGTCTGTGTGTTTTTTTCCCACTGTGTGTGTTTGTGTGTGTGTTTGTGTTTTTGTTTCCCCACAGGCGTGTTCTGCCCTCGGGGCCCTGACGCCGGTGAACGACATGCACGTTCGCAAAGCGGGCGGCCCCCGACTGAAGCGGGCCAAACAGCTACGGCGGAGGCCAGTCCACAAGACACCCTTGCACAAGAAGCCCAACCCTGAGACCCCAGGACGTCCTCTGGTTTTCGGTGTGGGAGCGTCACGCAGTCCATAAAAAAAACGAAACCCCAGAAACCCAGGGCACCCTGGAGGCAAGCAGGGCGTCTCTTGGCATGGGCCCCCACCGTACGCACGCCCGCGGCGAAGATGGGGTGCGTACACTTTGAAGGGGCCCTGGGACACACACACACACACACACACACACACACACACACACACACACACACACACACACACACACACACACACACACACACACACACACACACACACACACACACACACATACATACACGCAAATAAGAGGATCTCCCACATTTTCCCATGTCTTCTGGGGCTTTTCGTCTGCCCCGTGTCTCTGTGTGCTTTTTTCCCCTCCTGGCACCTGCCGACCGCGCGGCTCCCCGTGCTCGTCCGCGCGCGCCCGGCGCCGGCGCAGACCCTGGGCCTGCCCTGACTCCGGATCCGCCCTGCTTTGGGGAAATTCGTAAGTAGGGCTTGGAATTTCCGCCTTACTTTTCGAGCCCCGCTGATGCCAATTTCCGCCCTACTTTTCTGTTGTCGTCTCCGCCCTGCTTCTGTGTATGTTCGATGTTCGCCCTATCTTATGTCGGGTGCAGAAATGTCCGCCCTACTTGTTCGGCTTCTGATTGGTGGATGTCCGATGCCATTTAAAGTTGGAAGAAGAGCCAAAGTAGGGCGGATCTGGAGTCAGGGGGTGGCACCGTGCAAGTGACCGACGAACGAGTGAGCACCGCAACCCCGCCCGATGTACCACCCTCTCCCTTGACGTCCCCAAACGGCTGCGGGCCGCAGCTGGCCCGCCCGTGACCAGCCCGGATCCGGAGTCAGGGTGGCCTCCCCTGTGCCTCCCCTCGGCCTGCCTTCGCCCTGGCCCGCCTCTGCCCGGCGGGTCGTCTTCGGGCCGTGCCGCTTGGCTCCGCGCTCGGTCCTGGCCTGTGCTCTGTCCTCCCTCCTCCCTCCATGAAGGGGCCCTGGGACACACAAATAAGTACACACACATAACAGGATTCCCCATACTTTTCCATATTTTCGGGGTTTTCGTCTTCCCCCCCCCACTTCCCACAGTTTCCCATATCTTCCTGGGAGTCGGCGGTTCACTGTGTCTGTGTGTCTTTTTTTTGTCCCTCCTCCCTCCACCTCCTACCTCTGTCGCCTCGCCGCCGCCTCCGCACTCAGGCCTCCTCCCAGCGACATCCAGCGACGCGAGCACGGGGGCGAACAGGGGGGAGCTGGCCATCGCTCGGACGTCCATTCCTTGTGTTTTTTTCGGTTTCGTGCGTGGTTTTTCGCCAGATGATCAAGGATGCTCCTCGATGGTCCTCGCCGAAGGAAAAATGCACACGTCCGAGCGATGCCAAGAGAGAGAGGGGCGCGGCCACTGCTGGCCGAGGCCTCCGGCCCTTCCGCGGCGGGCGCCGCGGCGGGCCCGTGCGCGCCGCGACGCCCTCGGGGCCGAGGACTGCGGACGGCGATCCTCTTGGCGAAGGGGCGCCCTGCGCTCGGCTCGGCCTGGCTGGCCGTGCCGCTCGCAAGACAGGCGCACGCCATGCCTGGTGGTGCGGCCGCGGGAGGCGCGCCGCGTCTCGAGCGGGCGGCGGAGGGGGGCAGGCGAGCTGGTGCCTGCCACCTCGCGTGTGCTCGGCGGGCGCCGGGGCCACGGCCGAGATCGAGGAGCGGGCCGAGGAGGAGGAGGAGGAGGAGGAGGAGGAGGAGGAGGAGGAGGAGGAGGAGGAAGAGGAGGAGGAGGACCTCCCCATCCTCCCGTCTCCACCGTCCTACCTATGGTAGTGGTGGTGGGAAATTGTCCCATCAGGCTTGGGACGGGGGAGCTCCCGCTGGAGAAGCGCGGAGCTCGCCGCCTGCGCCGGCAGGGGCGCCCGCGGTGGCGCAGGCTGGAGGAGACAGCGCCTGCGCCTGCGCCCGCTCCAGCAGCTGTGCCCCCCTTGGCGTCAGCCGCTCGCTTTATCGGGCAGCTGGGGGCTCCCCGCGATCTTCGGCCACTCCGCTGTGACGAGACGTCTCGCTCTGGCGAGGGGCATCTTCTGCTCGGGCCGCGCTGCTCGCTCGCTGGGGGCGGCTGGAACTGGTGCCTCTGCGCCTCCTCCGTCCGTGGCCTCGGCCGCCCGCGCGCTCGGTAGCTCGCGCACGA